AGTCAAGGGAGTGTCGCTTATTCTCTGTTTAGAACAAACTAGATGACAAACTTTTCTTATCCCTTCTGGATCTTTTCCTACTTGTTTTCTCGAAAAGAATTGTAATTGAGTTTTCCATTAATTGTAAAATTTGAAATATGCTAGTGCTAGAAGATCTCACCGCTGTGCGTCCGCAATCGGGCTCAGCATGAAAATACCAATTGTTCCTATCAAGCTCTCCATTTTTTACATTAGCACGGAGAGAGAATTCTCCTCCACGTCCTGTCGTTCGATCATCCATGTTGTACCCATATTCGCCTTAAAATCACCTGTTCATACTGGTCTCCAAGTATAAATGATCATTGGTCGCGAGCTCTTTCTCACAATTCCATCTCATGGACAGGAACGATGATATCAAGGGATTTCTTTGCTAGAAGATAATACGTGTACGTTGCTGCTTCCTAGAATTACGGTAGCGTTTTCTTCTGATAGGATCGATGGGATAGTGGTGATTTCTATTTGCTTTCATTTTATCAACTTATTCCAATAAATTTATGGAAGTCACTCAAATGGGGTAATTGCCCACTAACACCATACCACGGTTTGTTGCTTTGTAGAAATACTGGAGAATATGTGCCTCAGGGTCCGTTGTTATATCAAAGTCGAACTGAGGCCTTTAGAGGTCAAATCTTGGACCGAATTTCTCATGCAGCAAACAGGCTTCTCGTCTTGAGACGGAGATGGATCAATGTCAGCTCATCCTCCAGTAGAATATAACCACTGGCGAACTAATGCATAGGTAGATTGCATTAGTAAGTATCGGTGCGATTACGGGCTAGATGCAAAAACGTAAAGCGCATATTCAAAACAAAACTCCACATCTCACTATAAAGTACATTCTGCTACATAAGCTCGTAATATCGCACCATAGTAAAGATACAAGGTGAACAGATCTTAAAGTAGGAACGTCCACCACCTTAAATGCATTCTGATGCAAATTACAAAAAAAAAACGTTTGGTACCGTCAAGTAAAGCAACGCGAGTATGAACTATAGGTCTTCCTTTGCAGTACAAAGATCCGGTGACTGACAATTCTGGTGCAGACCAACTGTGTGTCATGGAGCATGCGATCAGCTGAAACAATTTATGAACAATTCCCTCAGTGCGACAAGATCATTTATGGATTCTGAAAGAAAGGGAAAATGACATGTCTCGAGTATTCTGAAGACCAATTTCTTTCTCGGCGGGCAACCCATCGCAGAAGGTCGCTTTCTTCAAAATTCTGTTCGAAAGAAAATCAAAAGTTTCCGGACGTTGACGTAGGAACGCATCGAAGTGGGTGGCGCGTTCCATGGTTTTGTCTTTCATCGGACTGGAACAATCATCTATGGTAACTGATATGATGAAGCGCAATCAAGGCACGTTAGAAATCTATTCACATGAGCCACTGAGGGGTATGAGGTTTTATGTTGAAAAGATCCTCTTCTACTGAAAGATCTCCAGCCAGTTGGTGACGGTGATATGTGGCACATGTTCCCTAACCAGTGGATCGTATTAAATGGCGGTCCAGAAACCTTCGAAATCTGTTCAGGGAGGGAGGCGTATCCAAGCGGAAGTTATCTTGTTTCTACTGCTATGAGTCGCATTCTACCTTTAGCATCTTCGCAACGTATACATGATGCGCATATGGAACGCCTAGTACTCTATTGCAGCCTAGTATTTTGCATGTCTGCTCGAGCAGAGCTATCATAGAATTGGAATGAAATTGCTAAGAGCTTTCCGGTTGCCTTAAAAGTACAGCTCACGACAAAAATGATTACTGAAGTTTACGTTCGGGATAAACCCGTAACCCCAAGGATAATATGTGTTACATTGCCGGGAAGAAAACCTTGACAAGATGCTATGAAAGATCCGGAAAAAGCTTGGTTGAGTGGCCGTGTAATGACGGTCTTGTTCAAGCCGCATCATTCACACCGAAACCTCAGAGCGTAAGCGAATACTACGCCTATGTGGGAGAAAACCACATGGCTACAGACACATATTCGTGTGCAACCACTTTTTAATTTTGATAACTTACGCCTCCTATGATCTACCATTTCTCATGCTTTCTTCGCCACCTTTGCACTATCCTGCACCATAGCTTCCACTATTTCACTTGAACCAAATACTTAAGAGTCATCATGAAATATGCCTTTGATAACTTCTTGTCGCATGTAGGATTGCATGGCTAAATATCCGGTGTGCGCGGCGCCCAAATCAGAACTTGGCTTTCTATGGCCTAGACACGGGGGCATAAGTAGGCCCCGTCTCGTTTGCTAGTATTACGCTGCATTGTGTCAACGTCATCGCGAAGGGAGGGCTTCGATAGGGCGATACCGTTTTGATCGGACGTTGCACTGCTACTCTCGGGAACGACATGAATGTTGAGGCTTGAGAGTGTAGATTGACAGCTCACATCACCGCCGTTTTGCAAAGGACATCGTGCTTATGGAAACGAACACAGAGCAGCCGGAACGAGTGCTTGCCGAATTTGACGGAAGCTCAGCTCAAGACTAAACCTAACGAAGATGATGTTCATGAGAAACGGATCGAAACCGATGTTCCTTCCTCGCTGACCAAAACGAATATCTCTGAATGATCTGGCTCTTTGTATCTAGCGTGTCAGTGTAGGCTTCCTCGTCTGCAGGCACTTGGCCATGAACATCGACCCATTCAAAACTTTTACAATCAAAATCGGACGTTTGCGATGTTGCTTAACCACAGCTGTAACAATATTCGCTGGCTGCGCACCAAAGTCAAGCTACGAAGAGCATGGCCTGGAACCGTTTCATCTGTACCTGAAATGAAACTGGACCTAGAATAATAGCAGAAGAGCTGCTTTCCGGATTGCACAGAACGAAAACGATTGAGCAGGGCGAAAAATTGTCAAATGATCGTATTGACATACACTATTCATGGTGATTCGCAGTTGCAGAAACCCTCTCACTTGCGATAGACAATGGAGTCACTTGGTGAACAGTTCTATAGTGAGTTAGATCACATCGCCTCATTCGGAAATGTTGATTGAATGATGTCGTTGTTATTCCGAAGTTCCATGTGAAATCGGAACACCTTTTCCCCTGTGCTAACAAGGGAAGGATACCTGGTCGCAGTGGCCATTCAATATGAAATGTGTATCCCCCTGGGTGGTTTCGAACGCTGATCTCAAATCTGTGTTCCAAATCTGCGGAACAATTCTGGGAACAAAGTTACGGGACCGATGCCTCCCTGTGTTATACCACTGTACCAAAGCTTGTGAATGTGCATCGGTGGCCTAGCGGATAGTGTGGTGGATTGGTAGGCGTAACATCCGGGTTCGACTCCCTGATGCATACGTTCGTTTTGCTTTTTTATAAAAGTGTTCTAAACGCTTGCAAAACGTTTGAGTACAATATTGGGCATCTCAGGGCTCTCTCACAATTTAGGACTCCGGGAAATAGTAATCTAATGAAAAATTTTTACCACTACCGACCGATTACATACGCCTCTCTACCCTGAACAATCAAGATGGTGTTTCGAAATCTTCGGCAGCTCCCTGTACTTACGGTAGGTGGCAGCGGTCGACTGCGGTCGAATGATTCATCCAACCAGAGCCCTCTTTGGAAGGGAGGTCCAAACATACTAGGAATACTGTCCGCGCCTTCCAAGAGGTGGTACAAGTTATTCGGCATTGTTGAAAAAGTACTGTAGAGCAATAGTTTATTGCTTTGTGTGCACATATAATTATCCGCTGACTCTTGAATGAACGTCCTTTCAAGGAGCCCTTCCATAAAGTAAAAGTGGTGATGCGGTGGAACATAATACTACAGCTGTCCTCAAAACGCCAAATCCACCTATGAATTGTTTTAAGTTTTCTCCCTATGGGCCTTCATTGTTGATTTGAAGCTGTATCCAGTGAAAATGGCTCTCGTGTAATGGGAATATTATATAAATTTCATGATAACTCATCTTTCTAACTGATCCGCTAATCTCCATAGGTAGGTAGATAGACCCGCTTATTTTGCACCTGATACTCGCGACCACATGAGACATCGTAAGTTGTCAATAATAGACTAATTCGAAAGCTCATGTCCTCTTAACTTCAGTGGACGGCACTCTGTCGTGAAGATACAAAACATGTTCCTCATGTTTGAGGAAGTGCAGCTTCTTTTGACAATCCAACTATAGAAAGCTTTGGGCTCTTTACCAGCGCCGTAAAATTGGAGCTCATGGGTCAGATAAAAAACTTAAAGGCTACGTTTCACTTTGGAACCTCTATATCCTCACAAACGTAGGAGGTTTCATTCGCCAGTTTCATTCATTACGGGTCCATAGTCGCTGTCCTCATTGGGCAACTGCATAGGATCATTGTGATCGCCTTTAACGGACTCAACTTACTCGCAAAGGATAACAGGCTTGTTTTCAAAATGTCGATAAGCACTGTTCGAAACCTATTCATTACCGCATCTTCCTAGAAGGGGTCTGTGCGGGTAGTTCAGTGGTTATTTATGCATCCAGTGATAACGGAGTAATGAAACACAATAATAAGTAAGCGCGGCGTTCCCGCTATCAAAGCACAGAATAATGGTAATAAATACTTTATAAGGCAGGTAACTTACGTCTTGCTCGTGACGCTGTAATAGGAAGGAGTGCGGACCCACTTATCTCGGGTCCGCTTGACCCCGCACCGTTTAGGGGCGTGGGTTATGCTAGGGAGTCGTCTCAGACAGTGAGACGACGATATACATAGTTATGGGGATCGTCGCCATAGACGACGATACTCCGCCGGCAACGGAGTTTACAGTTCAACAGGGGCATAAATGGGCATTTATAACTGACAAGGTGACAATTTATATCCACAAATGGCAGCTCGACTTTTCCTGATGGTGTTGACTGAGTGCAGTCGCATCATAGCTCCTGTGATTGTGTGCGGGCTTCTAGCAGTTGAAACGACCGGGACATCAGGGTGAAATTATAGAGAATTAGTAGTGCAATGAGAAAAATATACTTCAGAGGACGAGTGCATGATGTGCCTCTCCTTTTTGAACTGTTCACACCTGTCAATGTTCAATTTAGTACTGATCACTTCGATCAAATATATTGCCATGTTATACCCACCTAAAGGAACCCGCAAGTTGTACGAGTCATTAAAGTCAACTGGCTCATTAAGGTTAAATCCGGCCACGGTTCTAATCGTGTCATTCATGGAGAATCCCTCCTTGGGGTAGGTGTAGATTTGGGGAGCGAGCGAGCGAGGATATAGCTATCTCATTCAATGACCATATTGATTTATCAGTCATATTATCTATATTGCATATGTATAAAGTTTAAAGCGTTAAATATGCAAGTATTTGTATAAATAACAACTGCAAGCAGTTGTTCCCTGGATAGAGTGGAGTACGCTCAAACTCCCTTTTTGGGATCCCGCCGTTTTTTGAGTATAAGTGAATCGGAGGACAGTAATGTAGCATCCAATCAAAGTGAACCATGCTAGTGTCTCGAGGATAACCCACTAGGAGGCCGCAGCCCTACAGAGGCGGGTGTGTACACCATTGAACTCAATCTCTCTGATCTAATTACGAACCTAAGGAGCTGGCTCGGGGTGCCACAAGAATGACTAGCTGGCATTTTTTGATATTAGGATCGCTTCATAAGAATTGATGTCAACTCCGTGTAGAGCCAAAAATGTGAACGGCGGGCGGTTGAACATCCGCTTGATCATTTCTTCACCACATAATATTGTAAATAATTGTTATAGTAAACTTAACTTGATGGATTAGTGATAATGGGTAAAATTGGACAACTAATTTTTGCCTTTATTTTTCGACTGATGAATCGTAAATATGATTATTACTGAGGTTTGGGTACAGGCGTTAGCACCTAGTTATTACTGACCCTGCAAACGCTAATTGGACAAGAATGAATACATTTTTACGATTTCGACGTTAAGATGCCCGGAATTTATTACTTTGTGTTTATGATGAGCCAAATTGCTATTGAGTTTGCTATGTAGTTCACGGCATGTAGATGAAAGGTAACAGTGAGGGCGCTGCTTGTGGTGATCCAAGGTCACTTTGCAATTACTCTGTGCATGCATTGGACTTTGGTGATATAATTTACTCTTGTACGGCTCATTGGCATACGTTGAGTTTTCTGGGGACGGCTTTATGTAGGGTGAGCGAGACCGATACCTGCTTCTTTTTGGCGCTGACACTTTAGAGCTTCTTGGTTTTCTTTTCGTGAAATTTTTGCAAATGGAGTGTTCAATAGGCGCCTTGACTTCATAGTTTTTTCTTGGTAAACTGAGCCCATTTGCTCCTGTTGGGCGGTTATTGCCTGACAGAGAGGGACTGCAGTTGTTCACAATTGCCGTCATCTCATAGTATGTTTTAGGTTCGACGGATTTCTCCCCAAGCATCCCCTTACCGTATAAGGTCGGTCCGAAATTGTCTTCGCAATATGAAGACCTGAGGGCGTTCTTCCCATGGAGTGTTGACTCAATATTAACTCATGGTAAAGGTCTAACCCTACTAAAATGTGAGGACGTTGGAGCTCCCCTCGTAGTTTCGAGTTTGCAAGACAGATATTATTGTCTTTCGGAAAATTCGTGTCTGGGCTTGTTAAATTAACGCTGGGAAATCCGTTAGTCAACACTGGCTTTGCTTGGATCCTCAAGTTGAGTTCCTCTTCGAACGCAGTGCCTACTTTTGCAGTCGCTAAGTGGCTTTCGAA